TCCTAACCCTTAACCTAACCCTAAAGTTAACCCTAAACCTAATCCTAACCCTTAACCTAACCCTAAAGCTCTTGATAAATTGCAACTTTGAGCAATACTTTGCCTCGGACTCTGATTTAATTTTGGATGTTATTTGGAACCCCGACACACAGACCTTATCAGGATTGGAGAGCTGCCAGGCTGGTATCTTCCAAACACAATGCTGTACAATAAAATACTTGGCAAGGAGTCTCTGGGAGTCACAAACAAATCTTCACACTAATTAATCAAACTAACTGTCTCCTGCAAACTCCAATCTCCTTCTGCTACTCTTTTATTTCCTCTGGGAGGCGCCGTTCATCGTCCACCTGTGGCCTTACTCCAAAGTTGACCCTTCTTCTTTAGCTGTTCCCTTCGTCTGGCAACTCTGCGCATGCGCACACTGGGAACAGGCTCCAGCTATTCTGCCTCACTGCTGTCTGACTCCAAAGGCAGCTGGTAACTGTCAGACGGCCCTGGCTCCCTGTCTGCCTCCGACACAGAGCCCTCATCAGAGCCTTCCCAGACTCCAGGACTGGCCCATATTCCTCCCCAACCTCCTCACTGTCCGAATCTGTCAACAGCTCCGCTGGCCGCTGGCGGACCACAACATCTCCAGACCTGAAACCCCACCCCCACCCTCTTCTGCACTCTAAAAAAACCCCACGTGTTGGTTGTTCTTGGCACCTACAGAGTGAGGGAGGATATTCTGTGGACTGCTGATCCCTAGGAAGGGATGAGTGAAGCTCAATTGAGGAGCATCAAACCATTTACAACCATAAACATGTGAACAGGAGACCATGCAGCAGAAATACCTCTTAATATCCAGGAATTGCCTGGTTCCAAGTTGCTGCTTGATGGACTTTTGCAAAAGAAATGCCTGGCTGTTGCGTGAAGGCCCACTGTAGTTGGTGAGAAGGATGACCAGCAGGAAGAACATGTAGACGAAGCAGTTCTAGGAGAAACAGAGGAAGGGGATTTGCCATTCTGCTCAGAAGAGCCCAAAGCAGCCCCTGCAGGCAGGATGCCCCAACCAGGCTGGGAGGACATTCTGCTCTGGGATCTTGGGGTGCTTGCACGCCCACCCTCTCACCGGCTCCCCTTTGAATCAGGAGGGGAGATGCCCTCAGAGGCTCCATCTCCTCTTTCTCCTTCCAGGGCTCTGGTCTCCCCCTCCGGATGACCCCTTCCCCCTTTTCACCTTGAGCAGGCTGTGCAGAAGCTTGACCTTCCTGGCTTCCTCCTTGGCCTGGAAAAGAGCAAAGCCCTGAGGAGGCCGGACCTTCCCGATCTTCTCCGAGACGTGCTCTACAAAGGGGTGTTCCACCAAAGTGTCGTCCTCCTCGGGGTGCAGGCGCTTGGCCACCAGAGAGAAGTAAAGGGCTTCCAGAAGAATCTGGAGGTACAAAAATATCAAAGCTCTGGATTTGGAGGTGACATTGCACATCACCTAATGCAACCCCTTCGGAAGGGAAGATCTGTTAAATCCACACTCTCTTTCGGCGAATCCCTTACTATTCTAGAGACAACTCCTGTTCATCATGCTCTGAACAGACACTCAAGGATTCTGGTTGGACCACAAGGGAATATGCTCCAGGCACAACTGATCTCAACAACCCCTGCCAATGTTTAGATTCCTCTCCCTGCACAGAACTGGCTCTCCGTCCTTGTGGCCTGGATCTTCCCAAGCAGAAGGTAAGAGGCTGGTCTGTAAATAATTCAGCCCCCAGGTCCAACCAGGAGCCGCAGAAAATCACTGTAGATTTTAGAAAGAGATGGCATGGTCATACTCCACTCAGTATCAAGGATGCAGCTGCAGAGGTGCTCAACAGCATTAAGTATCTGGGGGTGCAGATAACTAACAATGTGAACTGATCTTTCCACACGTCATCCTTTCATGCAAGGATGCAAGCCAGTGTCTGCAAAGCATCCAAACCAGCATCTGCAATTCCTGCATCAGATGAGGAGAGCACATCTTTCTCCTTCTGTCCTGGCCACTTTATACCGAGGCATGCTGGAGAGTGTTACTGTTACCGCATCACTGTTCGATTTGGTGACTGCAGTGCCTCAGATGGAAAGTCCCTACAGAGAGTGGTGATGACAATGGAGAAGATTATAGAAAGCTCATTATTATTTAGGATACTGCTTATAAGCTCTATGTGCTTAGAGCTCAAAGCATTGTCAGAGACCCCACATACCCACTTCACGATCTGTTTCTGTTGCTCCCCTCTGGGAGGAGGTTTCAGAGTATTTCGAGCTGGACTTCCAGATTCTGTAACAGTTTTGTTCCCTATGCCATCTCTCTAGTATCACAAGATTCATTTATCTCACCACGTACATGTATACATCCGAACTAGACTGTGTTATCTCTCTATGTCATATAATGTATGTGGGTATATGCATAATTTTGTATTTATTTTGTCATGGATATGTAGGTTATATTGGAGCTGGAGACTCTTTGAGAGCTGTATGCAATGAAATTTCATTTTAATGTATGCCAAAGTGACAATGAAGTTATTCTATTATCTATTAGGTAGCTTCCTTGAAAACCAAATAAGTTTTGAGTTGCCGCAGAAATTCTCCACAACAATTTTGACAGCCCAGTTTCTCTTGAAGGTGGGAGACGTTGGACAAAAATATTTGTTGGATGCAGGGGAGAGGAGGGGCCAATGTCACAATGTTACATTGTGCGGATTCGACTGTCTGAATCCACCGATGACACTTTTGGCTATGGACAGTCTGGCAGGACCTAAACCGTCCCGAAGAGATGGTGACCGGGAAGACAAGACCTTGCTGGTCGCAGGGACATCGCAAAGTCCCTGATCAACCCAAGGGAAGCGCTTCCAACTGGCGGCAAACAGGCAGGCCCCCCCCCCAGCTGACATAGTTGGAGACGGCTCCAGGAAGAGAGAATGAAAGTGTTTCCACCTGGTGAGGTGTTTTTTTTCTTTTCTTTTAGAAGATTGCCCTAAGAAACTCTTTTCTTAAACTTAATTAGTCCATTAAGCAAGAACAAAGTGGCGTATTTAATCCCTATTGGACTGCCTTAAAAAGTTTTTTGCTCTTGCCTGTAATCCTTTGTGGATTGAGTGATTGCAACGCTTCAGTTTTTTCCGCTTGAGGTGAAGGGATCTTTTTTTCCCCTATTTCCCTTTACTACTTTAACTTTTTTGGCTTAAATTAAAATTCTTATTACTTTAATAAATTTCTTCTTCTACTTGTTACAATATTATATTAAAGATACTTAAGGAAAGAGATTTTAAAAGAGTCGAATCTGCCACTTGGAAGCCCAAGTCGGAAGCTTTTTTTCCTGTAATATTGTTGTAACAATATTTTCTTTGTTCACTCTTATTTACCTATACTGACTGTGCAATAGAAGGGTTTGGAATGTCTCTTTAAAACCTGATAAAGACCCAAGGTCACAAATAGTGGTGTGTGTGAAATATTTTGACAAGAATTGGAAAAGGAAAGAAAAACTTTAGAACCCTTCTTCTTTGAAAACCATAAAAGAACATTTGTCTAAGACTTAAAATAAAAAATAGATATATTCTTCAAAATCTGTGACAGGCTAGAGTGGCAGATAGTACCAAATTCTTCTTCTTGCTTTTTCTTTATATTTTTCCTTACTCTAAAAAATGGAAGCAATACTCAGATGAAGAAAACTTGATAATTCAAAACATTTTGGCTGGACTTCAAAACTTCTCAGAAAGACTTGAGAGATTTGACAAGAAATGGGACAGACTATGGGGTATCACAAAAAAAGATGATGTGGTTGCAGCCCCAGAAATTAAAGAAGCGAATGAAAATACAGAAAACAAAGATAAGAACTCAGATGAACTTATAAATGGAGTAAACGTGAG